GTGTTAAGGGGCTTGTGTCTTACATAGATGTATAGGAACAAGTGTTAAGTGCCTGGTGTCTTACATAGATGTATAGGAACAACTGTTAAGTGGCTGGTGTCTTACATAGATGTGAAAGAGCAAGAGTTTAGGGGCTGGTGTCTTACATAGATGTGAAGGAGCAAGTGTTAAGTGCCGTATCTTACACAGATGTTTAGGATTACATGTTCAGTGTCTGGTGTCTTACATAGATGTATAGGAACAAGTGTTAAGTGACTGGTGTCTTACATAGATGTATAGGAACAAGAGAGAGAGAGAGAGAGATTCTTTATTTCCTCCAGAAATCAATCCGAAGATTATTGATACATGCAGTCAATCAAACATACAATACAATAGTATTTACAAACAAGACAATGTTATTCATAGTTGACAATTGATATGTACAGAAACATTCACAAAGGGATGGCGTCACTTGTGCCTCCATTAAAATACAAACTCAAGATATTGTTTTGACAAATGATAGACATACTTTGCAAAGTTTATAATGACAGCATGGTATGTGTCCCGCACTAGGGATCGTGTGAACTGTGTATCTGCACCTTGGAGAGTTGACAGCATTTCCTCGTCTTCCAACATTTCAAAATTTACATAGGTTTCAACATCAAGTAGATCAATCAGAGATGAGAAAAAGTTATTTCGGAGACCTAATAATTTTTCACAGTGTAGTATCACATGGTTGTCATAGTCATAAGCGTGCTTGTTACAAAGCAAACATTCTTTTGAGATTTTATTTCGTGATGAAAGTTTCAAACATAATTGCAAGGCTGCTCTGTGTTCAGGGTATAAAAATGCTAAGTTCAAAAGTATGTGATATGTCAGTGATGTATGACCTCGCATGTAACGAGACAGTCCTGCATTAAGTGATACTTTGTTACGCCAGATGTGTTCTTCATATTCTTGTACGTGTCTGTTTGTAATTCGTCTCCACTGGTGTTTGGGGGGGAAATGAACCACTGTATAAGTACGTATGTAAGTAGTTTATAAGGTTGTATTTGCACAAAACAGACTGAAGATCTCCACAAATAGTTGATTTTCGGGGTGTATTAGCCATGGAAGCACAGAATATGTGTTTTATGAGATTGTCACAACTAGCGTTGCATAAAGAGCCAAAGAACTGGAGTTTACTTTTATCAATGTAGCCAATCATGGTCCACAATCCTAAGTTTGCAATAGTGGATTCAGACGGAGATCTCTTATCTAGTCCCTGGACAGTGCGGGCAAAGTACCGCTGTGTGTTTTCTAGCAACCAAAGTTGCTGCCCTTTAATGTCAAACAATAGTTCACAGCCATAAAAACTTGTTTTCAGAATCATTCTTTGCCATATCTTAACACTGGTAGCTGGATGTAGGTCAGTGTTATTTAGCCCCAAGCATTTAAGGGAATTAACACTCTGTCTTGCCTTCTGACAGCACTTTTCAATTCTAGATTTACATGTTAAATCAGACGTTAGAAGTATACCGCCGTAAGTAGTGGAATCTGCTGGTGCGATGTTTTCATTGCCAAGAGTGTAGTTTACAGTTTTAACTTTACGTTTACGTTTATTAAAAATGATTACTGTGCTTTTTGCAGGATTGTATGTTAAGCGCCATTTATTGGCATATGTATGTACAGTATCGAGAGCAATTTGAAGTCCCTTTGGTGAAGTACTAACAAGTGTTGTGTCGTCAGCAAGCAATATAGTCGGAACATTCACACCATACACACTTAGGCCATTACTAGCCTGTCTCAGAGAAGAAATTAAATCATTGATAAACACTAGGAAGAACCAGGACGACATGACTCTGCCTTGGCCAACACCTTGCTTAATAGGATACCTGTCAGAGTTTTCACCCTTATATCTTACAAAAGCATAACTATTTGTATAGCTGTAGTGCAGTAGTTTCCAGATGTTTCCCTGGATGCCCAGTTGATGTAACTTGTAAAATAGACCATCGTGCCATATTCTGTCAAATGCTTTTTCGTTATCTAAAAAGGCAGCATATACTGTAGAGTTTCTCTCAATGTAATATCTGATACTTTCAATAAGAGCAAAAACGCTCATAACTGCGCCATGTTCCTTTCTAAATCCAAACTGGAGTATATCAGGGAAGTAAGGATTATTTTCAAGTAATTTAGTTTCTATTCGTTTAAGTAATAGCTTCTCAAAAAGTTTTCCAAGGCATGACGTTAGAGTAATTCCCCTATAGTTTCGGGGATCGGATTTTTCCTTTTTACCTTTATAGATTGGAATGACCATACCAAGTCTATAGTTAAAAGGCACATAGCGAAATTTAATTATTTTGTTAAACAGGTCACAAAGGTGTGTAATGAGACACTGCCCCCAGTGGATAATGTGCTCATTTGTAATGTTATCTGGGCCTGGAGATTTGTTTTTGCAGAGAGATTTGACAGTCTCACGTACCTCGTTATCTGTAAAATCCTTTTCCAGTCCTTCATCGATTAAATAGTCATCTAATGCTTCAATAGATTCAACCCTCTGACATATTTCATCTTTAAATTCATCATCAAACATCTGTGGTGTGTGGCTGAGCTAGGTCCGAGTAATATTTACCCCACAATCTACATATACCAGCAGGTGTTGATTCATTTTCATTATCATAGTTAAGTGTGGTTATAACATCAGTTGTGGATCTTTGTTTTCTGACAGTTTTGTAAAAGGTATTGATATCAAGTTCAGCTGCATGTTCAATTTCAGTCAAAATCCCATGCTTTTTAGATCTTTTAGATTTTCGATGCAGACGTCTAAAGTTTGACTTTTCAGTTTTATATGATAATAATACATCCGAGTCGTCACCTCTGGGCTTACCACTGTTAACCCATGCTCTACGAGCAACTCTCATACGGTAGTGGGCATTATCTAAACCATCCTGTTTCCAGTATGGCTTTAGATAAGGCTTGAATGTACTTTGTGGGATACATTTACAGCTGGCCTGTATAAGGCCGTTAGTAATAATGTGACAATGGTTTTCTATAACTTGACAATGATCAGTTGTAGATTGTGTGCCTTGGTTATATACAAAACTGAGATATTTTTCTACTTCATACTCAAACATATCTAAGTTGTCCCTGTTAGCTTTGTTCCATTTTGGGACTTTAGGGTTTTGGTTAAAATCATCACGGCGTAGGACGTGTTCTGAAAGGGACATAAGACAAGGAAAGTGATCGGATACTGAATAAGGGCATGAGTCTATCACTTCACAATTTGTAACATAGCCCTGAACCCAAGATAGATATGAAGGAGCAAGTGTTAAGTGGCTGGTGTCTTACATAGATGTATAGGAACACATATTCAGTGCCTGGTGTCTTACATAGATGTATAGGAACAAGTGTTAAGTCACTGGTGTCTTACATAGATGAATAGGAACATGTGTTAAGTGACTGGTGTCTTACATAGATGTATAGGAACAAGTGTTAAGTGGCTGGTGTCTTACATAGATGTATAGGAACAAGTGTTAAGTGGCTGGTGTCTTACATAGATGTGAAGGAGCAAGTGTTAAGTGGCTGGTGTCTTACATAGATGTTTAGGATCACATGTTCAGTGCCTTGTGTCTTACATAGATGTATAGGAACAAGTGTTAAGTCACTGGTGTCTTACATAGATGTATAGGAACATTTGTTAAGGGGCTTGTGTCTTACATAGATGTGAAGGAGCAAGTGTTAAGTGACTGGTGTCTTACATAGATGTTTAGGATCACATGTTCAGTGCCTGGTGTCTTACATAGATGTATAGGAACAAGTGTTAAGTGCCTGGTGTCTTACATAGATGTATAGGAACAAGTGTTAAGTTGCATGTGTCTTACATAGATGTATAGGAACAAGTGTTAAGGGGTTGGTGTCTTACACAGATATATATGTTAGTGTGAGCACATGGGCTTGTAACGCTAAAAACTGCCATCAAGGTATATATTGTCACTGACGGGGTCTTAGGACTATATAAAAGGAAAGGGGTGTAACGAGGTCAACACACAAGGTTCGTTTCAGGGCGAATTCAACAATACTCACTGTATCTATCCCATTCAAAGTTGCACACATTTCAAGCCAATAGATTTCCCTACAAAATGAGACATACAGCACAAAAATCGAAGCAGTTCTTTGGGAGCTAGGGTCTTCGGAAGCTCGAAAAATCGTGATTTCTCGATTCCGAGCCAAAATCCCTGCTCAGAATTTGTAGCGGTAACTCACCCATTTTCTTGTTTATTTCACAGTATACACATACGACATTCACCAAAACATGTTGAGCTGATGGCGCCTGTCAGCGCGCTAGTCGCCATTCTTTCGGAGACACTTACATCTCACTGTCAAAATGAGTTTACGTACATTTATTCATCGCAAACAGAATTGTGTCGTGCCCGTTCGCCATTGACGACCTTGGACTTAAACTGCCCCACACTTAAAAGAGCAAGGGAGCTCATTGGCTAAAAATAAAATATGTCCCATCAAATCGCTGACTCTTTTAAGTCCACTTGTTCATCATGTTGTCATCCTTAAGGGAGTTACAAGACCTATTCCCACATGCCCATCATATCCTAACTCCCAAGAACGACACAACACCCATTGTCACATGTCCATGATGTTTTCATGTCCATTAGACCCATTCTCACATCTTCATATTTTTGTCGTCTTAAGGGAGACTCACATGTTCATCATGTGTTCATTCCCACAAGACCCCCGTCTCACATGTGCATCTTGTTGTCATCCTTATGGGAGACACTAGACCCAGTCTCCCATGTCTATCATATTCCAAACCCGAGGCAGACACGAGACCCACTCTCATTTGTTCATCATAGAGACACTGGGCCCTCTCTCACATGGCTATCTTGTTATCCTCCTTAAGTGCACTATCAGATGTGCGTCATGTTGTCATCTCAGACGTTTCAAGGCTCTTATTCCTACCTTCAATGACCTTGTCATTCTGTTGAGAGCAGCAGGGCGTCTGGCAACGTGAGGAAAACTGCTTTTGTTTAGTAGACTGCCTGACCAGGTGTTGAGAAGTGTCTCGCTGTGTTTTCATGGTAACGTATTGAGGACTGCTTCTGTGTGGCTGCCTGGTTTATGTGTATGACTGCTTCTGTGTGAATGCCTGGTCTGTGGTAGAGAACAGCTTCGGTGTGGCTGTCTGGTCTGTTGTAGAGAACAGCTTCGGTGTGGCTGCCTGGTCTGTGGTAGAGAACAGCTTCGGTGTGGCTGTCTGGTCTGTGGTAGAGAACAGCTTCGGTGTGGCTGTCTGGTCTATGGTAGAGAACAGCTTCTGTGTGGCTGTCTGGTCTGTGATAGAGAACAGCTTCTGTGTGGCTGTCTGGTCTGTGGTAGAGAACAGCTTCTGTGTGGCTGTCTGGTCTGTGGTAGGGAACAGCTTCTGTGTGGCTGTCTGGTCTGCGGTAGAGAACAGCTTCGGTGTGGCTGTCTGGTCTGTTGTAGAGAACAGCTTCTGTGTGGCTGTCTGGTCTGTGGTAGAGAACAGCTTCTGTGTGGCTGTCTGGTCTGTGGTAGGGAACAGCTTCTGTGTGGCTGTCTGGTCTGTGGTAGAGAACAGCTTCGGTGTGAATGCCTGGTCTGTGGTAGAGAACAGATTCTGTGTGGCTGTCTGGTCTGTGGTAGAGAACAGATTCTGTGTGGCTGTCTGGTCTGTGGTAGAGAACAGCTTCTGTGTGGCTGTCTGGTCTGTGGTAGGGAACAGCTTCTGTGTGGCTGTCTGGTCTGTGGTAGAGAACAGCTTCGGTGTGAATGCCTGGTTTATGTGTGTATGACTGCTTCTGTGTGAATGCCTGGTCTGTGGTAGAGAACAGATTCTGTGTGGCTGTCTGGTCTGTGGTAGAGAACAGCTTCTGTGTGGCTGTCTGGTCTGCGGTAGAGAACAGCTTCTGTGTGGCTGTCTGGTCTGTGGTAGAGAACAGCTTCTGTGTGGCTGTCTGGTCTGTGGTAGGGAACAGCTTCGGTGTGGCTGTCTGGTCTGTGGTAGAGAACAGCTTCTGTGTGAATGCCTGGTCTGTGGTAGAGAACAGCTTCGGTGTGGCTGTCTGGTCTGTGGTAGAGAACAGCTTCTGTGTGGCTGTCTGGTCTGTGGTAGAGAACAGCTTCTGTGTGGCTGCCTGGTCTGTGGTAGAGAACAGCTTCTGTGTGGCTGTCTGGTCTGTGGTAGAGAACAGCTTCGGTGTGGCTGCCTGGTCTGTGGTAGAGAACAGCTTCTGTGTGGCTGCCTGGTCTGTGGTAGAGAACTGCTTCGGTGTGGCTGTCTGGTCTGTGGTAGAGAACAGCTTCTGTGTGGCTGTCTGGTCTGTGGTAGAGAACAGCTTCTGTGTGGCTGTCTGGTCTGTGGTAGAGAACAGCTTCTGTGTGGCTGTCTGGTCTGTGGTAGAGAACAGCTTCTGTGTGGCTGCCTGGTCAAGTGTGGAAAACGGCTTCTGTGTAGGGGCCTGTCCTCTGATCAGTTGGTGCTGCATTCCTGACACGTCCAGGCAGACCAGATGACCATACATAACCAAGGACGGTACTGACCTTTAATCAATAACTTCTGTATGTGCCAAGGGAGTATTACCTGATATGAGATTCTTGTATCTCTTCCCGATCATAGGGGCTTTAGGGAACTAGATATACAAAACGTCTATCTCATTGATTTATTAGAATACCAGACATAAACAGGATGTCACGCCATGACACACTTCACTAAACAGGATGTCACGCCATGACACACTCCACACAACAGGATGTCACGCCATGACACACTCCACACAACAGGATGTCACGCCATGACACACTCCACACAACAGGATGTCACGCCATGACACTCTTCACCAAACAGGATGTCACGCCATGACACACTTCACCAAACACATGGTGAAACTTCATGACACACTTCATTACACATGGCGAAACTTCATGACACACTTCATTACACATGGCGAAACTTTATGACCCACTTCATTACACATGGCGAAACTTCATGACACACTTCATTACACATGGCGAAACTTCATGACCCACTTCATTACACATGGCGAAACTTCATGACCCACTTCATTACACATGGCGAAACTTCACGACACACTTCATTACACATGGCTAAACTTCATGACACACTTCATTACACATGGCTAAACTTCATGACACACTTCACTACACATGGCGAAACTTTATGACACAATTCATTACACATGGCTAAACTTCATGACACACTTCACTACACATGGCGAAACTTCATGACACACTTCATTACACATGGCGAAACTTCATGACACAACTATGCAAAAAATAACGACATGCCATGCCTCACTACTGTAAACATTAAATAACTTCATAACACACCTTAACATGCAAGTAACGCACAATATAAACATATGGCAGTCTCAGTGACAGATCATAAAAGTAATACACATTTTCGTCGAGGGTAATCGAAAAATGGACAGTTAACAGTAAAGTATATTTTTCCTTTAAGGGAGGGGCGTGGAAATCTTTTTAAAGACATGGGGAAGGTCAAATAGGACAAACATTACAGGAGGTACATAAGGTATCACCACATGGGTACAATGTGTGAAGCCCATTTCTGGTGTCCCCCGCCGTGATGTTGCTGGAATATTGCTAAAAGCGGTGTAAAACCAAACTCAGTCAGTCAGTAGGTATCATTAGTCAGTACATTATTGCATCAACAACCCCACGTCCGCTTACTTACTCGGTGTTGTTGAGGACGACATAACGTTATGGCCAAGGCAATATTCGCAGTTTTATTAATATCCGCGCTCTCGAAATACGACTTGAATCTATTAACAAGAGTCATACGTAGTTCGCGTTAATTATACGCCACTGGAAAGCATTTATTAATACATTACCTTTGCCCCAAACTGTAAATGAGATCGGATGAGGACGACGACAGTATAATTATAACCCATCCATGCCAACACCCTGCTTCTGTCTGTGTGATGATGTCGGACTTGACATATCGCATAACAAGGCGCCAGGTGAAGTAACCCGGGTGTTAAGGCAAAATGACACACGAAACCATTATCTCGCTATCAAATATCGAATGGCAAATGAACACAATCACGCATCTCCATGATGTAACATTAATGTAAACAGGCGTTGTCACGTCTACTTTGGTGAGATGTTCCATTGGCCAACAACAGACAGGACTTCAATATCTGTGATGTGGATATTACAGTGAGAACTGGTCGGTTGGTAACTCTCGAGCGTCGTAAATTTCAGTGACCCGAGCACATGACTCCACGTTAGAATGAGCCTGGTTGGAGTTGTGTTTTCTTCTCGATATTAGTGTTTTACAAAGATTGCTAAACATGCATTATCGGTCTGAGTATTATTTTATGTTCTCAATGACGCATTCAGTCATAGTCATAAGGAGCAGAGCAACGGCTAGATCTTGATTTGCGTCATTCTTAAGTATCTTTTCATTATTTAATCAAACACGACACCTCAAATATCATTTCAACATCACAATGACGACCTAAGGAGTATTGTACGTCAATGCAAAACTGTAAGTCCATTGATAACCCGACAAAATAATTTCAATTCAAGATATTCCAGGATCCTAAGATTTGAAATGATAGTATCGCCTTGGGGTTTTGAAAGCCGTGGTTCATCATAACGGCTGGGTATCGACAGTAAAGGAATCTATATTGAGACGCTTCGCGAACAGCGACTATAATCTATGTATTATTTCTTCTTTCACCACGACTCTGTCAACTTAGTAAGATTCTGTGTCCTTGTTTCTTCATTGGGGACAACTCCATTCAGCAGGAAGAAACAGTAATAACAACCTGCTGTAGTTTCTATGGATTCATAAATGTATTTTAAGTATACGAATATTTTTAAGGGCTGTATTTTTCGAGGAAATTCAGAAACATATATCATTGGTTTGTCCGTCTCTGCAGACAACTATGTATGTGAAACCCCAATAGAGGTAGGTGACACGAGTGATGAAGTAACGGTCTGGGCTGGGATACAAGAAATTCAAGACCCTGAACAATCAAGATGGTAAGTGTGGATGGTCTGCAGCTACTCGGACTTTGATCACGTCGCCATAGTGGACGAGTCGACATGACGTGGGTTTCTTGGCAAGGAAATAACTAGATCGCGAGTCCATTTGTCGTGTACAAAAGTGACAGAAGTGGAGGCGCTGCTTGCATATTGTCAGCGACATGTAGCAGATGACTGACTGACTGACTGAGTTTGGTTTTACGCCGCTTTTAGCAATATTCCAGCAACATCACGGCGGGGGACACCAGAAATGGTGTAGCAGATGAATAATGTGTCCACAGGGACACTGAGATATGCCATGTGAAAAAGGAAAGACCTTTGTGAATATCTACATTTGCAAATCTAAATTTAAAAAGAAGCTGAAAACCACAGGCCCTTGTGTCTGCGAGGATTAAAGATTTAAAAACATATATACTATTAGAAATTTGAGATGACCCCGACTCGAAAAGCATTTCGAGTCGGGGTCATCTCAAAAACAATATTTTTTAAATCTTTAATCCTCGCAAAGACACGAGGGCCTGTGCTGAAAACGTCATTTGCTCACAATCTTGAATACTCTTTGCATGGCAAAATGCTCCATGAAATCAGAATGGTGCCTCTGTCCGTAAACAACTTCTTTTGTTTTGAGTGCGACGTTTTGATACAGATACCCTTGTCAAGCAGCAATGTCGTGAACTCTATGTGTGAGTCAGAGTTAATAAGTGAATTGAAGGTGATATCGCCATCCTTCAAATGTATAGCGATTTCCGGGTTGGAGTAGGTCTTCAGTCTCTCATCGTGTGGTAAGAGGAGACTATGTCACAGAAGGGCCCGTCATTGACACAGTTGCTGTTGTCGTACCACATTGACTGGGTCATGTTCAGACTTTCATATTTCGTGTTCTTCTTGAACCAGATTCCATACTTACATGCCGACGTGAGGTAGCAGGGGTATCACTGGCGCTAGCAACATGAACTCAATCCGTCACACCACTTCCCATAGATGAGTAGTTAGACTACTGCTTAGTCTCTGAATATATATAATTTTGATTGTAACAAATAAACCCATTTAAACTGAAAAGGAGCCCCAGGGAGATCAGAGATCCTGAACCTGGGGAAATCTAGACTTGCTTCATTTAGGGCTTTAGCATTGCAGGGAGAGAAAGGCTGTAGGGAAAATAATGTGGTTCAGGGACTGTGAGACAAACTACTGGGTAGTATAGACAAGAATATAGAAACGATATGGCAACTGCGGTTCACCAGGCGGAATGAAATACATAGCGACAATATTAATTCCACTTCCTCGCCCCGGAATTAGTTTTACGTTCTGAGAGTTATGGTGGTGATGCGAGATTGGTGAATATTGTTCATGGAACAAATAGCTTCACCGGGACAACAGGCCTAATATCTCCATTCTGGCTGCCATTGGTATCTGCCAGATTACATTGGTGCATTAAAGAGAGTAAGTATTCCTATTACACTGACGACCTGTTTAAATTACATGAATCATTGATAGAAAGCATTTGGAGTTGCTGCTGTAGTTATCACAGTTAACGAGAATGGACAAAATGAATCCTTCATATCGCATTTTCCCGACACCTGAGCGGACTTGAGTAACTGGCCTGGTGGTCAGGAAGCTCCACGAGGTTAACACATAGTTGTGTAGTGTCAGAGCTTGTCGCCATCAGTCGCTGGTACTAAAACAGCGGGTCGTTAACAAATGCATAAAAAACTTTGATTTTCGTGTAAGACATCTGTTTATGATAATGTGGCATCTTCTAAGGTCGTATTATGAAATACCCTAATGGCATTGTCGCGTTCTCGCGATAGAAATCAACTCAAAATGCAAAGGAGGAAGCGAGTGGGAGCTGGCAATCTTGTATTCTGTTATTTTCTGTTGCAACACGACAATGTCCCTGGCATTATGCCATATACGACAGTATTTGCGTCGTTAAGAAATAGAATGAAAATAGCAAAGCAATAAGGTGGTAGTTGAGTCTGTATTCGTCTTACTATAGTTCATCAGCCAAAAACACTTCCCAGTTCTAACTTTGCATCTTAGGTCCCACGGGATTTTATTCCTGATTTTGTTCAAGTTAATATTGTAGATAATGAAACAGCTAGATTAAAAATAACAGTACTGGTAGTACACGGAATGTTGAAGTCGACGGCAGAATATCTAGTCTTACAATTGTATTCTCCATTACACAGTAGTAACCCAAGGACTGAGTTTAGTTTTACGCCGGTTTTAGCAATATTCCAGCAATATCACGGCGAGGGACACCAGACATGGGCTTCACGCATAGTAGGCTGGGGAATCGAACCCGGGTCTTTGGCGTGACGATTGAACGCTTAACCACTAAGCTACCCCACCAGTAAGCGAAGGAGCTACATTTACCTAACACCATACTGCGCTAGAGCTATTGACAAGAAGTGGAACAACGTGACTGCGGTAATTGTTAAGAATACCTTGCTGCACCTGAAGTCTGTCAAGAGCGCCACAGTGAGCGTCG